TTCAGCTTTGGCGCGGCTTAATTGCTTTTTAAATGAAACGATAGTCGAGCTGAGCTCAATTCAAGTAGGTGTGAATGACGAAACGAGGGCCGAGCAGCGGGCAGCGGGCAGCGGGCAGCGGGCAGCGGGCAGCACTAAGCCAAGAGCATGACCTGTACGCTCATTAACTAAGCCTGCTCAGCTCTGGCCTGGAGGCTGTCGCCGATGATTTGTTTGGCTGTAGGTCGCTAACAATATCATTAGTTTTGTGCGCTGCGAGCCATGATTGGCGCGTGACAAACAAAAGATGTGCAGATGTGTAGAAAGTTTTCGGAAGCCAGCAAGCTGCGGATGTACGTACTTAGTTACATAAAAAGGAAGGGAAATGACAACAGCCAGAGAAATCATGTGGCACTCTAAGCCTTTCATAGAACTCATTAGGCCAAACGACTTGAGCATGGGCCACTGGGCCGCAGACAATCGAAAAACACCGTCAACCTGAATATAAATGTGATAATCAAAACACAAACATGGCACAAGGCAGAAGTTTATTAAACAGCGTCAACAGAACGCATATAAATTTCTCCGCCGGCCGGACAGAACTTTCCAGTGCCACGGCGCAGAGAAACGGTAAAGTTTTTAACAGAAAGTTGTCATAACCCCAACAGGTAGGCACATAAAAATTACATCAAATTACTGGCATTCCCGAAACGAGCCGAGAGCTCAGACTTCTTTGATTATATATATGTAGTATTTGTGCCACACACGCTTCGAAATTAACTTGAAAAATGTGTGTGTACCAAAGCGACATGAGCCATTCATGAAAATGCAACTCATTAGTGCGCCACACAAATGGATACAAATCGCCACAACTGCCCAACAGCGGACCGTGGGGTGGGTAGCGGGGCTGGGACATACATATAACATACCTTAAAATCATTTTCTTGACGTTGGACGTTGCCACTTGGCCGCCGATCGTGGTGACTGTTAATGACTTCTTTAAATGCGTTTTTGCGTCGATTTTCGCACGCAAAGACCAAAAACTGCGAATTAATCCAATTATGGCCGGCGGAACGATAAAGTGGAACGTTGCGACAGCCCACGCAGTTTCTGATGATGGTTTTTCGTTTTATATTTATTTTTCGTTTATTTCTTTTATTTTGACTTGGCCTTAATTATTTTTTTTTTTTTTTTTTTGGTTAGCCTGTTGGCTGGCCAAAGTGCAGCACTTTAGCTGCTGGCTTCAAACACGCGGCAAGTTTGTTGCCCAAGTCTTTTGTATTTGGTTCTGTTTAGGAAATGTCGAGTTAACACCGGTTTGTCACTAATTTTCATAAATTTGCTTTCAATTTAATTTATTCACTGCACTTGCTGCGTGCTGCGTTCACTGTTCAACACGCTTCAACGTTCAGCACCCAGTTAACCGTTAGCCGCTTGCTGTACCGCCACGGCGTATGTCCAACAAATAACTGAACTCGGCAGCCCAATGCTGCCACACAAAACCAAATTGCCTGCCGACTTGAATGCGGCTGCGTCAACGTCAGCGCCGTCGTCGCCAACGCCAACAGCGACAACAACATCGACAGCGACAGCAACAGCCGCAGCAACATAATACCGATAGCCACTCCAGACAACGGTCTCGATATTTGGCCAGTGCTTTTGGTTATCAGCCAAGCAGCTGCCAACAACGCCGGCAAAACAAACGCCCAACGAAGCTGGCTCTGAGCTCAACTTCGAGTCGCTGCGTCGTGTTTGAGCGCGACTTGTGCGCCAGTCGGGCTGCAGCAGCGAACATGTGTTGAGTTCACTCTCTCTCTCTCTCTCTCTCTCTCTCTCTCTCTGTGTGGTAGCTTACGGCGCAGTGGTGTATTGAGTAGAGTGCGTATTAAGTTCGTTGCCTAAGTCATTTGTACGCAACGCTCGCGACGCGCTGAGGCATTCGACTGATAAACTTGTAAATGCTATCGTAATTGTTGCCAATAAAAATTATGAAGATGACAAGCTGTTAAAAATAAACTTTAAATGATTCTCTTAACCTACTAATGTCTAAAAAATTATAAACAATATGCAAAATAGTAATACGACTATTACTTAATTATTAAATATTCTGCTCTTTTATATTAAATTTATGTTTTAATATTTTTTATATTTAATTTAATATATTTTATAATTTTATTATTTTTTTGTTATATTATTATTCATTTTATTTAAATTGTTTTTACCATTATTTGTAGCTCTATAAATTTTTAATTTATTAAATTAATAATAATAATTAACTAGACGAGTTCTTATAAAAAATATGCAAAATAGTAATACGACTATTACTTAATTATTAAATATTCTGCTCTTTTATATTAAATTTATGTTTCAATATTTTTTATATTTAATTTAATATATCTTATAATTTTTATTATTATATTTTATTATAATAATTTTATTATTATATTTATTTATTTATATTATTATTCATTTTATTAAAATTTTTTTACCATTATTTGTAACTCTATACATTTTTAATTTATTAAATTAATAATAATAATTAACTAGACGAGTTCTTTTAACTCTATTTATTTTATTTAATATTATTATTTATTATCTACTTTATATGGAATAATTATTAATTTTATATTTCATTCATTTTTACTTATTGGTATTAATTTTTCTTTTATACTTTATATAGATAAAAGTTCTTTTTATTTAATTTTAAAACATAATCATTTTGTGTATAGCATTTGTTTTTAATTGTATTTTATATTAATGTAAATTAAATCCGTAAAGCAAACGTTCATTTTTTACATAATTCATTTGTACTATTATTAATAGTATAAATATTTTGTTTTTATATTTCTTAATAATTTATATTTTACTTATTTTTATTAAATTTTATGGCTTAATAAATTTTGAAAAATTCATTTCATAATTGTGACCTGGCAGATTTTTATAAAAGATACGTATTTAATAAATGCTTTTAAAAGTATATTTACTTTTATTATTATATCTGCTTTTATTTATTTATTAAACAAGTTCAATTTTTGAATCACATTTTATTTTATATACGGTCAGGCAAGCAATTAATAATATTTCATTACAATTAACCTGTAATTGAATTTTACTGACTTTGCACACAAGTAAATCTGGTTTAGTATTCCATATGGTAACACTAAAGTACCCAAGACGTGAAGCCATAATTAAACTAAGCTCACCGAAAACGTCAAAAGGTTGAACCATTAAAATCAATTTAACATGAGCTAGGCTCGAAAATTCGTTTTTATCTTGAGATATTTTCCATATCGATTTTATAGCTTTTGAGATTGGCTTTGAGAGACTTGGTCGCCTTTACAATTGCTTTGCATGAACGCATGGAAATTGTGCAACTATTTCAGAAGCAACAACAAACAAGCGCAACACTTTGACACGATCTCCACGCATTTTTGAAAAGTCGTTTGCTGAGCGCCGTTGCTGTTCTTTTATTAAAGACCAACAAGAGGCCATTTTTTTCTTTAATTTTTTTTTTAAGTTTTGTTTGTGGGCTTTAGAAGTCCGCGTTATCGACCTGGTTTGACAGCATTACATTTTGTTTCGTTTTTGTCTCGTTTTTCGCAAAGTTTATTAAACATGCCATTAGATTTTAATGGCGTGTGACATTTTTGTTTACGCACAGCTTCAATGTAGAGCAAAACATTAACATGTTCGCATATTAGTTGCTCATTCTGCTCTGCCCATGCCATTGAGTTGCTTAATTAATATTTATCACATGTCATTTTGTTTCGAGTGCATCATAATGGAATCGTTAGGCGTTGGCCTGACAAAAAGCTCGTTGCTATGGCCTAACTTCGTTGCAAATGCGCCTTCAAATTGGCAATTTGATTAGTCGCACAGAGCCGCCAGCTAACCAACTAAGCCACAAATGGTCCATGTTAAGCCAATTTAATTAAGTTGGAGGCGCTGAATGGCTGCCACAGTGGTTGTAGACAACCTTGCGGGCATTCTTAACATGTTCAAGATTTTTACCAACGCACCACATGTAGGCCTGTTGTTGTTGCTGTTGTTGTTGTTGGTGTGAGTGCTGCTGCGTTCACTTTTCAAAATGCTTACAAAATGTCAATTTTCGGCACAATGTTATTTGTTACTTGATCAATGCGATTGAGCAATTGCTGATATGTGTGTACTGATTTAATGGCCGCCTGGCTAATTGTATAAGAAAAACGCACGAATATGGCATAGAAATTAAAACTTTTTGGCACTCTGCAGACACCCCGAAACGCACAGCTGGCAACGGGGCTCCGTCTGAGTCATAGCTGGCCAAAGATTTAGAGCACCTCCGGCACATGCTCCCAAGTGGTCTGAAGTGTAGTTTAAGCCAATTTTATTACGCTTACATAATTGTAAAATTGTGAAGTGAAGCCTTTGCCAGCCACGATGGTGGCATTTGTTCAATTTTTGTTTTGTCGAAATTTTTTTTCAATAGATTTCCTAAATCATTATTGCCATGACATTTCATTTTTGCAAAAAAGCACTTATCACAGCAATTGGATTTGCGATAGCTGAGTCGAACAGTAAGCATAATTTGCTCTTATTGTTGCACATGAGCCAGACAGCAATAATCGACCAGAGCCGACCCTGAGCCATTTACCGATTGGGTGTGCGAAGGTTGATTTTCAAATGCCTAACGATCATGTTATTTCTTTTCACACTGCTTTGGCTTTCGCTGAGCTGATATTATGAAAATAAAATACCTTTGACCAACAGCCCCAAGTCCAGCCGTGGCTGTAATGAAGTCTTCTATATGCCAATTATGGCAATCGCGACAACTAATGAGGAATTGCACAGGCCAGCCCGGCTACGGCTTAAACTACTTATGCCTTATGTATTATGCATATTGTAACAACAGCTGTCCGAACCTCATGTTAAGACAGCAGCAAAAACATTGTTTAAATTACGCCAAAATATTTATGAAATTAAATTAAATGACATTAACTTAAATTTTTTTAAATGTTTTTTGTCAATTAGTCTTAAGCACAAGTAAACTTTTCGTTTTATTCAGATTTAATAGGGACCGCGGGAATATTTATTGGGAATTCCCTGGTAGCCATAGCCTGAAGAGATTGGGGACACAATGGCTTGCTGGTAGCCGGGGTTGATGCGACGACGTCCGACGATGCCAACTGGAGCACCGAGTTTACGGCCAACGAGGGGTCCATAAGCAGGTATTTGCTGGTTAACTCTACCATATGGATAACCACCTATTCCACCAATGCCACCAATTCCAGCAATTCCTCCGATTCCACCAACTCCTCCAATGCCTGCAATACCTGCTGTGGACAGAGATTTTCCACCGTATCCAATGTATTGACCTTGGCCACCCAACACGGATCCGTAAGCAATAGGACCTTGAAGACCGGGTCTATATCCCGGCGATACAGCTCCAATTTGCGACACGTACGGCGGGACTGGAGGAAGGGCCACGACTCCGTAGGCCAGGCAACTAAGTAGCAGAAGGTTAATAATTGCCATCTTTCAATTTTACAGCTGCTACTGATGTTCCTTTCAGTATTCTTGACTGTTTTATAGCTGCTGCTTGACTGGCATTCGTCCTAAAAATCATCTAAAGTCATCTAAATCATCTAAAAGTCATTAAATCATCTAAGAGTTAAGTGCTTAAAAATACAATTTTATTTTAATTATCGTATTAACCAATTAAAAGATATCTTATTATCTAATTGCAGAGTTATATTCGGAATTTCCCAGTGCGTAAATATTTCTTATTATTATACCCCTTAGCGCACTTTGGATAATGATATATTTTTTGTATATTATAAGAAGCCCATTACTACAACACAAAATTGAGTATAACTTTTAAAAAATATTAATACAAAATATTTTAATTTCTCCACTAAGTGATGTGATGATGTCTACCAAGATATTAAGGTCTCTATGACTAATAAAGCAATGATGTTAGGATCAATTACAGTTGCGAGCTCATGCTTTCGGATTCATACACTCAGATAAAGTACTTCAGTGAATGACTGATAAAAGCAAATCAAATAATTTAAGTTAAGTTTGTCGTACTTGAGTTGAGGTCAACGCAACGAAAATGTCTTTTAAATACGATTTTATCATTGTCATCGCAGCATTTATAGATCAAATCTTATGAACAATTTTAGAGCCATTTCTTAATATAAACTCAAAAACACTTAATCTTACTTTGCTGCTTTTAGAATTAAAGTACTTCATTTTAGAGAAATGGAATAACCATTGCTTAGCACAGATCATAATGGAACAACCTTTAAACAGAAGGACTTTTTATATGTACACTTAATTTCCTATGGTAAAAACTACTATAATTTCTGGATTTCTGTCTTGCTTGTAATTTATTTAAGAATTTTTAGAGAACATATACGCTATGCAAAATAAGGATTATAATTTGTTTGTTAGTAGTAGGATTGTTGTTGTGTGTTCAGTGTGATCAGCGATTTTCCGTTTCCAAGTTCAAGAGTAATGTTGCAACCAGAATCGTTTAGTAAGGAGCCTTGGAGCCGACAGTGCGGGAACCGACAACACGAGAGCCGACAATGTCGGAGCCCAGTTTCTGACGGATGGGCGAGATTGGACGCGCAGCGCCAACGATGGGTCCCCGGCGTACGGCACCGCCATAAGGTGATCGTTGCTTGAGCGGGGCAGAGAGACGAGGTGCCGAAGCAATAGGACGCTGGATAACCTGGCGTTTGCCTCCGACGACTGGAGCTCCGATGACAGTTTGGCGATTCACGGATTGAGCAGCGACAACGGGACGGTCAGCGGGTAGACGTTTGCCGCCCACATTGACTGGAGCGCGATTATCAATTGGGCGCTGTGCACCTGGTGCCAAGTTAAGCGGAGCAGAGGCAACTGGACTTCTGACCGCACCCTTAGCTGGCGGCAAATAGGCGTTCGATGGTCTCGAAGCAGCCGGTGCTGGGCGTAGAGGAGCAACTCCTACGCCTTGGGCCACCGGACGTCCTTCCACTGGCGATAATTTGGATGGCGCTGCGCCGCCAGCCATGGCTCCGTACACCAGGCAACTCAACAGGATAATATAAGTAGCAGCCATTTTAGAAATCGGAGAAAGGCAGATATTTGTTTAGTTGGCAAATATGTTCGTTGACAACTGATACTTTTTCTGATCAACCTCGACGCTTTTATAGGTCCGATTCCTGCATGCTCATCCGTAAAGTGCATTAATATTTCAATTAGCCTGTTCAAATTAGGCGCAGCTGATTTATCTCATGTGAACATTAATGCATTGATTATCTGATGACTAAATGAATTATCTACTTTCAGAAAAGTTTACTTGACCTAATTTCATAAATAATATAGGTTTAGATTGCTTTCGTGTATTATCTATGTCTACATATTTCTATAACTCTATTCTTATTGACAGACAATTGAAACTCTAAAGCAACAAATTTAAGGTGTCAATGATTGCATATACATATTGCATATACATATTACATATACATATATATCGTTCTTTTACAACTTAAGCATATCATATTGATTTTCGGTAAATTCTTCTACTAAGTGCTAAGGTTATATGAGTACCCCCAAAATGGGGCATAGCTAATCAAGAGTCACAAAATTTGGTAAACAATTTATATATCATAGCAAAAGCAGAACATTATATGTTCATAGAGCACAATCAAACGGAATCACGATATATGTACGTACGGTTTGCCCTTACTATCCTCATATTACAGATTAAAGTTAAACTTAACTTGATGCTTTCAAGGCAGATTCAAAGACCTTTCTAATAGTATACGGACATATTATGAAAACCCTTACACAATGAATATAAGAAGAAGAATTCATAGCAAGTTTCAGTGCAGCATAAAGAATTAAAGCTCAATCTGAGCTCAATACATGCTACTGAAAACCTGATTTGAATATGTTTGTATTTTTGTTTTCTTCAACTTTGATCTGTTTATTACCTAGACATCGTGTTTTTCAAGCTTTTTTAATATTAACTGAAGCCATCGGTAATTGTTTTTAAGGGGTTTCATAGTTTACAGAAAATAGGATTGAAAGAAGGTTTTTTAACAAAAATTATATTGGTTTATAGTAATTAGCAGATGAATTGAAATGACCCAAGAGTAAAGGTTGAAGGTGTTGTCGGATAATTTTTAGGAAAGTGTATTAGAGCATTGGGCTCAATGGACCTATGCAAATGTGCACATGAAGGACATGTTAAGAAAATTTTCATTTTATTCAGCATAAAATCAAATGTATTTTGATATGTAATAAATTCATCAATACCTGAAAATGTTATATATAGTTATACACATATATACATAATTATTAATAATATAATAATGAATATTTTGCTAGAATATTTTTATTAAATTTATAAATTTGTTGCGTATGTTCAGTAGTATCACAAGTGGAATGAAGATCTAAATGACATTTAGTAGGGAGTCTTGGTGCGGTCTCTTCTTGTGGCGCCTACATCCAAGATAGCACTTTCGGTAGTTCCAGCAAAAAATGGCCGTTGTTGAACAGGCGTAAGTATAGTAGATCCAGCAGCAATAGGACGTTCGAAGCTTACAGGCAATGCTCGGCCCGCACCCACAGATGGTCGATAGGGCCGTGAACATGCAACAATGCCGAATCCGAAAACAATCAGAAGGATAACAAGAGTAGAACTCATTTTTACTATTGACAAGCGAATAATTATTTAAATGTATAATAAATTAATGCTGTTTTTCGACAAATGATACTCATTGCCATCAACCTCGTTGCTTTTATAGATTTAACTGTAATATATAAAAAAAATTAAATTAAAAAACAAAACAAACAAAAGTATATAATTTATTCAGTAATTGGCAAAGAAGATTAGAGCTCGACGTATATACTATATAACAATAATTTATAGGAACTCATTATTTTAAACGTTCCAGTTTTAAATGAGAAGAAACTCACCCTCGGGAGATTCACCTTACGTTATTCGAAAGTGCAGATATTATTTAAAAATCAAGCGCGTATATTAACTAACAATACATTTTAAGGAAACCAAATCTTGATTTCAAATCCTGAAGACATTAAAGAAGGTATAAATTAAAAAATGTTTAGGCCTATGTAGAAATAAACAATAGAAATCCGTTAAGTTTTAATGAAGTGAAATGGAATTGGTTATTATAATTTCGTCAAAAGACTCTATATTCAAATATTGTTAACGAAATATTATCTGATAATACTTTATGATTACTCAAAAACATCCTCTGGGGATTGTTTAAATGGCGTAAACTCTATTTGTCATACATTTTCCACTAGGATTTCTGTCTTTGAAAGAGTCGAGAGCGCTTAACTGAGTGAAAATATTCTTGGTACGTTAAAAAAAATAAGTTTGAATTGATTTGAGCTTCATCAGAGCGTAAACGATTATTATTTATGCAAAATATCTTGTTGTACTTACTTAATTATATTTATTTCGATTCTGGTAGTAAGAACGAGTGGAAGTCCCTTTACGACATTCAAACCCCCATCTGAAGTGATGAATTAAAGTTTCGAATAGAATTTGGTATTATAATGAGGCTATCCTCATTTTGACTTCACAACAATAATTAATAAATATGAAATAAATATTAATTAAATGTCTAATAAATTGTAAACGTTCTTTTTTTTGCAATTTGTTTATTTTAATATTTGTATGTAATTGATTCAAGCATTCTATAAAAATAATTCATCATATGCTTTTTAGGTCGCAAAATCCGGTAGGTGCACAAACACACATTAATCAGATATCATGATATTTAGTAGGGAGCGGTGGGGCCAACGGTACGAGAGCTATAACCGCTCTTTGGGTTTGGTGCAGGTACAACAGGACGCTGGATAGGACGCTGGACAGGACGCTTGCCACCTCCAGGGCGTACAATTGGTCCTGGAATTACTGGTCCTGGAATTACTGGTCCTGGAACTACTGGTCCTGGAACGACAGGTCCTGGAATAACTGGGCCTGGAATGACTGGTCCTGGAGCTACAGGGCGGCCAGGGGGTCGGCAAACAATTGGTGAAGGGCGTCTGCCCACTCCTTTAGATGGGGGCAAATTAATTGCAGGCAGATCAACTGCGGGAATTGTAATTTCAGGAATGCGCACAGGAATTTGGATTGGGCGTTCGGCAGGCTGGCTTCCAGTTGGCGGCAAATAGGAGGGTGATGGTGGATTCGCTACGATGCCGTAAACCAGGCAGCTCAGCAGAATAACTAGAGTGGCAGCCATTGTAGATATTCCTTCAAAGGGTTCTGTATGATTGTTGCTTAAGTGGTGCTCCCGGACAACTGATGCCCTTGTTGAGAAACCTTCGCTTATTTATAGCTCGAAACTCCCGACAAAATTTGACCAAAGCACTCAATTATGATTCTCATCAAACTCTACTCACTAAACAGATAAGAATAATGCAAAATGAAGTACATGATCTAATCTAATAACCTAATTTGAGCAGAGATTGGAATTGCTCCAGTAAGTAGCGGTGGTTGAACTCTGAACTTGGCACTACGAGACAGAACTTTAATGCATCAACTGTGACAGACTTAAGTGGGTAAACCCGAGTATTTGGCTAGTGAGTTTGCTGACTTTAACAAAACATTTGAAATACTTTTGTTTTTGTATAAAACTCGTTTTAAAAATAAAATTAAACAGAAAGGCATAACTTATAGAATTTACGATGGGAAATTTTGTATTGAATATGTTTTCCTAATGCTCCAGATTTTTTATTTATTTTTATCCCTTCTATTGGAAATATGTGTTTCGCAAATGAACGAATGCACTTGACTTTGATGGTGTTTAGTTTTGTATTGATCTTTATTCTTCTGAGCCCGGGTTTATATACCCAGACTACATCCCTGAATGCGTAAGACTCCGCGTTGGTCTGTTAGCTATTCTTATCCGCTGAGTTTGTAAGCCTCAGCGCCCGTCTCCTTCGTCATCTGACTTTGGGGTTGCAAGGGTTGGTCTTCATTTGTCTATTTATACAGTCCGTACATATGACCCTTATGTTTTCACAGCGCACTACCAGCTAGTCGTTGAGTGCGTCTGAGGCATGTATACGATCTTCGTATACTCATATGTTCATACCTGATCAGCAAATTTAAAGAGAAATGTGTAAACAATTCGAATTCTATTAAGTCTGTGTATTCATATCGCGCTTAAAGCCTTATGTATAGACTTCCCAATATAAGTAAGTTTCTATTAAATAATCTATAACTATTCCGTTTCAGCGACATATACAGAAACTAACATACCTCTAACACTGTATATGTCGTATAATAATTTCATACATGTTAGAATAAAGTTTTCTCATTTATGACGAACAAGAATTAGTGAAAGTTTCTTGAGAGGAAAGTATATTAATTGTTATTCATATAAATATAACATATATTTATATTGGAATATCTACGCATTACAACTAGCAAATCTGCACTGACAAACAACTAAGTAACTGACGTTCCACAATTAAATAAGAGGTTAAACCAAAGTAAAAAGTAATCTATTCAATTTTCAGATTCGCAAGAAATATACATATATAAATTTTTTGTTGTTGCAGTTTTCTGTATATTTAAGTAATTCATATTGTTGATTCGTAAGGTTTTTAATAAAGGTTTTCATTGAGTGTTTTCCATTTCATGACATCTTATCTCATGATATTTAGTAGGGAGCGTTAGGGCCGACAGTGCGAGATCCGCTCTTGGAGCGTCCACCTGAGATGGGTCGCTGTGGAGCTGGTGCAGGTGCAGCTGGTTCAATAACAGGTCGTTGGACAATTGGGCGAGGGACTCCGATGACGGATGGCTTCTGGCCAGATGGAGCAGGAACAACAGGGCGATAAGATGATGGGCGTTTGCCGCCCACATTGGTCGGAGCGCGAACAGTAACTGGTGCAGGCCTAACAGTTGCTGGAGCTGGAACAGCGGGCTCGACCACTCCCTGAGCTGGAGGCAGGTAGGACGTTGATGGTTTGTTAACCACAGGAGCTGGCACGGTTGGGCGACCGCCAGGCGAACTTCCAAGTTGCGAGGGGCTAGCGACGACGCCGTATGCGAGGCAGTGTTCAATGAGGACAACTGATGTCTTTATAGAGAAATTTCGGCTTATTTATAATTCCAAATCATATACAAATTTACTCAAAGCACTCAATCGAGATTTCAATCTGTCCCTACACACAAAACAGTTAAGAGCAACGCAATGTTAAGTACTTGATAAATGAAATAACCTGATTCGGTTATCAGAGAGCTGAGATTTGTTCCAGTTTTGGCGGTGGTTGATCTCTGAACTTAGTGGTACGAGTTTAAACTGTAGTGCAATTTAAGTATAGATTCCAATTCAATCGGGATTTTTACCAGTTCAAGTATGCGAGTAGAGTAGGGAGGGACTAGACAGCTGGAACAGGAGCAACTAAGCAGGACTAGAAGGCCTCTGCAATAGATTCTGATTAGGCAAATTCGTAATATTTAAGGCAAGCCTGGCCTTGTTATTTTTAGTTTTATTGACTAACAAATAGTAAACGGATTGTGCTCTTATGATGTTCATGTATTAATTTAACAGAATATATACATTTTTATATTACATGAAGAAAGAAACAGTTTATAATAGATCCGCCTCAAAGAGTTTCAATAGTTCAAGGGCATCTTAAGGGGACTTCAGGAGCGTCGCGCAATCCTTGGTAATCTTCCTGCATTTGTCATCAGAAATGCGAACCCAATCTAAATGAAAGTACAATCAGCAGTTAGTAAATGTGAGCGATTGTTGAATTTCAGTTGCATTGCTTACTTTCATTTCTGACGCATCGCTGTTTGTTCAGCTCGCATCTATTGGCAAAGGTGCACCTGCTGATTATTCGACCGCGTTTCAAGGTGGCACAGACGGGATCATAGATCCTTTCGCATGCTGTTCGACAGACTGGCCTCGGTCTACTGGCACTGGAAAGCGCACAGATGCTGACGACGATAAGCAAGAGGAGAGTCACAGATTTCATGTTGAATGTAGTAGCTTGAAGACGAAAGGTACTTCTATAATTTCCCTAGATTCGACCCTGGTTTATATACAGCTCAAGAGCTCTTAAGCACTTGATAAAACAATGATGCATATTCAATAAATGGATAAGACACAATATAGAATGAAACACATGCCAGCTGTGACAGTTCAGCTTTTGTCTGCGATGAATACAAGATTCATTTAATGCTCTGGTTGTCCATACACTATTTTTACAATATATTGTCGGAATTGAATGTTACACTTGCTATTTAGTTTAATGTTTCCGTTTAAAAGCATTAATTAAATTCAGCTATTCTTGATGTCTGCTAGAGTCTCCAGATTTCGCATCTGGTTGTATGATAATAAACACGTGTTGTTTCGTATATTTTATTTATATTATGAAATTATTTCATAATATCAAAAATTTTTTTTTGGTACTTTCATTTCGAAAAAATTTATTTATTTACATTTTGTCTTCAATCAAAAAATAAAATACTTTTATTTTTAGCTATGTATTTGTTTACTTTTGTAATTTGATGTAATTAATTCGAAAAATTGTAATAATTGTTTTCATCGTATCTTTTTGGGGGTCACCGTTTCTAGTGGGGCTTGTCGTGGGATTTAGTAAGGAGCGTTAGGGCCGACAGTGCGTGATCCGCTTTTGGAACCAGGGGAGCCCGGACGCTGTACCGGCACAGCAGGCTCAACAGGACGCTGGACAATGGGGCGAGGAGCCCCGATGAGAGATGGCTTCTGCACAGGTGGCCTCTGAACAGATGGCCTCTGGACAGCTGGCTTCTGGACAGATGGCCTCTGGACAGCTGGCTTCTGGACAGATGGCCTCTGGACAGCTGG